TTACTAATTTTTTGGATGAATTGTACCACAATTGGAGAATATTCTTTGTGTGGTTTCATTTCTTTTAAATATGTTGAGGCATCTTTTATGGCTTAGTACTGAATATGCTATATCTTAGAGAATGTCCATTGTTTGTTTGCTATTGCTGAGTGGGATATTGTATCACTTTTTCTTAGGGCTAATTAGTTCACAGTGTGGCTCAAAATTTCATTTCTTATTTTGATCATTGTTTTGGTACCATTTTCAATACTGGAAGATAGGAATCAAAGTATTCATCTGCCTTTGATGAATTATCTATTGGTCATGTCAATTATGTTTGTTTTTCTTAGTATATTTTTAACTAAATAGGTAAATACAGTATATATCTTAACATTATCTCTGTTGCACTTATTTCTTCAAGGTCACAGATTCTTTCTACCACTTCAAATCTAGTTTTGAGCTCCTCTAGCGAGATTTTTAATTAACTTACTGTGTTTTCACCTGTAGAATTTCTATTAGACACTTTAATAATTTATAACCACTATTGTTGATTTTGGTTTTCTATATTTTGATAGTTATTTTCATAATTTAATAATTTAGGTGTGCTTTTATATTATTACATGTGTATCATATCTGAGAATAGTCTTAGGAAGGTTGAATTCCAGATTCTTTAATTATATTATTTACCATGAAAAAAATCTGAATTTCTATATAATTTCTCTGAAATATAACATAGAAGAGTATAGAAATCATATCTATCCATGTCACCAGTAACTCCCACTGTATCTAGCCTAGAGTTAGTGTTCAGATTATATTTTTCTAAATAAATAGATTTTATTTTAGAGATACCTATTTTAAAAGGCACATTTTTTTTTTCTCATAGGAAAGCTTATAAAATACTCATGGATTTGGCTCAGCGATTCTCCCACCTGCCTTGCAAATGCAAGGACCTGAGTTCGATCCCCGGTACAAAAGAAAAGAAAACAAAACAAAAGAAAAAAAAAAACACTCATGGAGAGTAAGTCAGTATAATGCAGAAGACTGCTACAGGATGCCTCCTTGGAATATTAGTCACAGCTACTTGTGAGTATCATCCTGCCTTCTTATTAATGCTTTAACATTCTGCCTTCTTATTAATGCTTTTTTAGGTAAAGATCACTGAGAATTCCACAAGATATATGTGAACACTTTCTTCAGGGTCTGAGAAAGAGTACACTTCTAAAATGTTTTCATCAATGCATAATCTTTTCATATAGACTTGTGGTTACAAAGGGCAAACACATTCAATAACCTCTGTAGATGGTATCACTCAGTTAAGGTTAACTTTGCAGTAATAATGGAATTTGCAAAATATTAAATACAGTGCTTATGCATTAGTCACTGCTCCAATACTTTTGCCTTTTCCTTCTGGGGTTGAATATTAAGTAGCATCTTCTTTCTGGGTTGTACATTTTATGGCATCAAAGGAAAATGCCATGTATTTGTAATCCATTCACTGTCATTGACCAAAACAAGTTACAAAGGACAGCCTTATGCTATTGGAGTGAGGACACACAATTCTCCCATAGGAAGAGGTCCCAATAGGTATATCACCAACCCTGGCATTGGCAGTCCTTCTAAATGGCGGCTCAGCCATAATAGAGGATATTACAATCTCAATCACATATCTGGGTAGTGTGGAGCTTTTCCAAACTGATACATAAAATTAACGATCGTACACATAGTATGTATTTATTTTCTCTCATTTATGTATCTATATCGTATCATGTACATAGGTCACTTCAAAAGACTTATTGAACATTTAATTCAGTTATGACTTTATGCTCAACAGTGAAATACACTCAAGACATAGAAAAGGACATGGTCTCTTCTCTTTATATAACTACAATCTTCAGGAAGCTTTTTCCTTGTTGCATTACTAGAACTTAGAATAATTTTGTAACATGGAACATGCTCATAAATATTTTGTTGAAGAAAAATTAACAGAATTTGCTGACCTATTCCAAGAAGTTCACTGCTAAGCATCACTGAAGTGACTGTGTTATCTTAAGCAACAAAATAAAAGGTCAACCACATTCTAAGGAAAGACAAAAGAGGCATACAAATAGAACTGAAGTTATCAATGTTGAGATGCCCTGAATAACATTTAAATAGAGGTTGAATCAGGTAAGGAAGGGAAAGAATATTAAGTAGAGGACATAACAAGGCACAAAAGTGTAAAGGGTATAAAGTGTTTTATTTGTCTTAAAAAAGCTTTTAAAAACTGAAATGTTGCCAAATAATGTGCGAAAAAGAAATTTGGGAAGGCAGATTGGATAGTTGTAGTTCGTAGCTCTTTATAATAAAAAAATGAATCATGTAATTAATATTTTAGGAACTTTTTCAGGCAGTTGTTGGAATACATTGCTTGCATTTTGATTTTGACATTGAGATTATTAATGTGGAAGGAAGTGCTTGCAATTTAAGCCTGGCTTATTTGGTGAGAGTGGGATGGAAAACATGTCACCAACAGGAGGGACGGTAGGGTTCCCTGAAATTCTATGAAAATACAAGGGACATTCTTGTTTTCATTAGTGTTTCTGAACTGGTGTTGCCCATAATAAATGGAGATAAAATATTTGGTTAGTGAAAAGTTTTCAACTTTGTTTTAGTTGGTGTGGTATTGGGAAGACAGAAAGATGAGCCATAGGAGAAAGCAGTGAAGGATATGAAGCATAATTTTTACTAAAAACCAAAGTAACTCTAGCCTTTAATAGTGTTGATATTTCTTTAGAATGTGTGATGCATGGTAATGAAGTACATCAAAAACTATGAGTATCAGTATAGTCCTTTGGAGTAATTTAAATGGAAATATAAATATTCCATGGCCAAGAAGTTGTAATAATTTGTATTGAGGAACTCACTTAGCGTTTGATTAAGAAATAGGTACATAATTTCCCACCCCGCAGGGTTGAACTCCACTCAGTTCGATTACAGGTTTCAAGGGCGCCCGCGCGGCTACCTTCCTTACTGGATCTGGTGATACCTCAAAGAGCTTGGACTGGAGGTTCCATTTGACCCAGCCATCCCTCTGCTGGGTATCTTTCCAAAAGAATTAAAATAATCATATTACAGAGAAGTATGCGCATCCATGTTTATAGCAGCACAGTTTGTAATAGATAAAACTTGGAAACAGCCCATTTGCCCATCCGTTGGAAAATGGATAAAGAAGATGTGGTTTTGCTATAAAATGGAATATTAATCAGCCATAAAGAACGAGAAAATAAATTCATTCATAGGAAAATGGATTCATATTGAAGATATGCTCCTAAGTGAAATAAATAAGGCGCACATGTATAAATACCGGATAGTTTCTCTGGTGTGAATAATTTGCAATAATACATAAGATCCTAATAAGATCACTGATATTTCGAAATGGGAAGAAAGGAGCTAAAGGTGTAGGGAAGGTGGGATGGGTAGGGGAAGGGTAAAAAGGGAAAAGAAAAAAATGTGAGATAATGAAAAGATGGAAATAAAGTGTTTGTAGATGGGGAGGGGAGGAGCGGGTGAAGGGAGGGCAGGGACAAGGGGAAAAAATGAGAACCAAGACATGTCATGTAGAGGTACAAATTCCGAACAATGAATGCAACTGTACTGTATCCCTAAAATGTACCAATAAACTCAATTAAAACTGAAAAAAAATAAAACTGAAAAAAATATTTCCGACACTAACTGTGGACTAGCAAGTAAAATAAAAGTTTACCTTGTTTCCCTCACACACACACACACACACACATACACACACACACACACACACACACAAAAGAAATAGGTACAGAGATTCACTATGTCATTATTGTAATAACAAATGCCTCGAAATGGCAGTATGTCCATCAGTACAGCGGACACACTGTAATATACCCATTCTACATGTGATGACATAATACTTAAAAGAATAAAGCAGTATGATAAATCTTGAGGCTAATGTCATGTTAAAAAATGATATAACAGTACATGTTTCCTTACACTGTGTACATTAATGTAAAGGTACAGACATGCATATAATAAAATATATATTTAAAACTAACGAGTGTAGCTGAGGAATAAAATTGATATGAAGGAAACTATCATTTTATTTGTAACACGTTAATTTTTATGAGAATTTTATTCATATATAATCTGGCTAAAAGACAGGTACAGATGGAAACTGGTAATGAACACAAAAGGAAAATAATTTTAATCCTGAATGTACCTTAGAAAAAAAGAAAGTAACTTATGAATTTAAAGCTTTGGAGCAGTTCATTGGTGACAGTCTAGTGTCACTTTGTATAAGGAATTGTTCAAAATATACAATGTAAAAGGAAAGTCATGGAATAAAAATTAAAAGCAAATAAAAGCAAACTATAAGTAATAGAAAGAGTAGGCAGAAAAGCAATGGTAAATTATTAGCAAACACAAATGTGCATTTCTGAATTCTAATTCTAATTGAGCTGGGTAATTGGCTAGATCAATTAAGTGTCATGGTGGTTTGAGAAGAGGAATGAAATATTAAAGCACTTATACTAAGTTTAAAAAAATAGATGCTCTTTTTCAGGCACAAACAACTGAAAAAAATCACACACACACACACAAAAAAAATTATGTAAGGAGAAATAAACACTAGTGTTATAGTCTGCCAAGCTCTGACCTAAAAAGAACTACTTTGATTCATGAAATAATTTTGACTCTTTCTTGGAAGCATATTCAGTGTTTTAAATTCATATGTGTATGTAATTTTTAAACCAAGAGAAATAGTACTACATTCAAAATTACTATACAAGAAAATTCATTCAGTACAATATAATTTCCTATAAGGTAGTTAAGGACTTATTACATATAATGGAAACTAAAACAAAAGAGTTTCATAAGTCTTTTTTCCTTCCTCTTGTCCTTGTTTGTAAGAATAGTGCTACACTGTTGTGAAATAAACAAGAGATTGTGGAGATGATAGAGAATATTAACATCATATTAGACTCATATTTGAAAACAGTGATGTAACATACCATACTTTGTTTTCCCAATACTTCATCAAATTACATAGAATTCTTCTGTCCTAGGTTCTTGAGTATATCAAATCTTGTGGACTTTATCCTCTGTATTGACAGCTCCATCTTTGAATTCTGTTTTAGAATAGTCTATTTTGTCATGAACATATTACGTTGTTGTGCCTTGGTCTTTACTGAGAAAAAAATGTTGGAATTTTACTTTCCTTTCCTTATATAACTTTTAATAAGTATTGCATGAATAGCATGTTAAATAACAATATCTAAATACAAATTTAAGTCCCTTTTGACATTTTAAATGTAAATAATTCTCTAGAACAAGATGTTTTAGCTAGTGTGAAGTTATGGAAATAGTAAGCAGTTGGGATCTATGAAAAAGGACCAGAATTCTGAAAACATAAATAAATATGACCTTCTAGTGGGAAGTAAACCTGGTTTTTGTACAGGGCAATCATGCTTGACTATTGTAGATCTTTGAGTGAGTAGCTAAAATAATGGATTAGCAAGGGCAATGGAATATATGTTATTTAGACTTCATTCAGATTTTGGCAAAGTTCCCCATCAAAAGCTGTTTTGTAAGTTTGTTAATAACTGTGAAATTGAGGTGGGAAGGTGGATTTGTTTAGTCATGGATAGGGAACTAGCTTAGTGACAGAAAACAACGATGAACAGACACTTTTCTACATGGATCAAAATAAATACTAAGGGTCTTCTATAGATTGCTGCATGGCCCTGATTTATTTAAGCTAATCTGGGGAAAGAGCAATACCTCAAAATTTCCCAATCTTCATATGCTAACGGAGCTCTTTTGCATAGCAAAATGCCATTTTAATGGGTGTACAGCTGCAAAAGATCTCCGGAGGAGGCAGGGTGTGTGTAGAAAAGTTGCATATGGCTTTGCATAACTGCAAGGTTAAGGAAAAATAATCTAAACTCTGAGTATGTTTATGGGAGAGCAGGCCACAAATGAACTTTATGATTGAGAAATGGGATTTGTACTGTTTCTGCAGACACAGACTATTGTTCTGTAGTTTGTGAGGTTATCCATGAGTGTGGGTATCATCAAAAAAAGGGAATGGAAATAAAATAGAAAAGTGTCTACATTCATCTATCATAAATTCTGTTTCCTTTTAGAAATGGGAGTTGGCTATTTTTAACCTAAAGAAAGCTACTACATGGCTCAACACCAATAATTTGTTATAAACATAAATGAAAAACTGACAAATCAACAAAGCATAAAAATTGAAGATTTTTAATATCTAAAATTTTCATTTTTAAAAAATGAACTTCATTGATACATTTAATGTATGCAATATAATAACATTCATTGTTGGAAATTTGTACCTTTACATAATCAATCTTGGTTATTTTTTCCCCATCCCTCTGCCCTCCTTTCAACCCCTCTCTCCCTCCCTTTCTACAAAGACTTTGTTTCCATTATTTTTCATATTAATTCCATTCCCTTCTTCCTTTCCCCTACCCCTCCCATTGCCCCAGATAAATTTTCATTATTACTAATTTATCTACAGGGCACCTTAACTTTTCTTGAGGCTTGAACAAATGTAGGAGAGAATAAAGGAAAGGTTATTTGGATGCTCACAGTAAATTTATGAAATTCACAGTTATTATTTCTACCTGAAATAATATATAGTAAAAAATTGACCCTCACAATACAAAGAATCTGCTAGTGCCTTGATTATAGACTTCATAGTCTTCTGAACTTTAAGAAATAAATTTTTGTATAAGACTCCTAGCTTATGAAGCTTTGTTATAGTAATTAGAATAAACAAAGGTAATAGGTTTTCCAGTAGCTTCCATATAAAAAAAGTTATGGAATTTGTCTTTATATTGTATTACTACCTGCATATAGCATCAGACAAGGATAAAACACTAATAATCTCATTTTGAATTTTAACAAATTATATAATTTTACAGCTTATGCTGAATGTCGTTATAGACAATTCGAACAAAATTCCCATTAGCTATTATAGATAGGTATCACAGCCCCAAAATACCTTAGAAATTTTATCCATAGTGGTATAGTGGGTTGAATAGTACCTGCTAAAATTCCTATCTTTCTCAGAATTTGATCTTCTTTCAAAATAGTGTTGCTGCAGACATAATTAGTTAAGATGAGCTCACAATGGAGGAGGGTGGGCCCTTTATGTAATATGAATGGTGTCCTTATAAGAACAGGCATAGAGACAGCAGTCATGGGGAGGAACACGCACCATACAAAGTTGGAAACAGAGAACAGGTGATACACCTGCAGGACGAGGAAGTTTAAAGATCCTTTCCTAGGCACTTTAATGTGAGCATGACCGGACTAGCACCTTGTTTTCAGACTTGTGGCCTCCAGAACTTTGAGAATATAAATACCAGTGTTTTAATGATGCAGCTTGGAGCACTTTGTTATGGCAGCCTAGGAAATAAACATAGACAAGTAGTCATGGAATCTTAATTTTTCTCTGCATACTATGATAGTGTGTGTTACCTTCCTAATATGGTCTTTGACTGGTTAGTCTCTGAAAACTAAGAATGCTCTTTGCTTGAGGGATATACAGGCTGGGTAGTTGTGTTTATGTTTGTGCTTATGAAAGAGAGAACCAGAGGGAGGGAAAGTGTTAGGAAAAAGGAGAAAAACATAAAACAAATATACAAGCTTGACAGGACAGGTTTATTTCAGGAAAAAAACCTGAGGGGAATCACCCTGGCACTTAATCCAGACTAGTTCCTCTCCTGTCGGCCATGAGGTCTTTCACAGGGTTATGAGGGGGGAGTTCAATAAAAGGGAGTTGTGGCTACCTACCATGGACAACAAAGCTTGGGAAAGTACAGGGAGTAGTTGGTTGCCCAAGAATGAAACTGGGGAAAGCCTAGAGAGTAGTGGTTTTATCAATAGCAGGGCTGAATAATGATGGGAGCTATGGGGTATTGTTGTGATTATTGGGCCTTATTAATGCTTATACCTCCATAGTGAGTGCAAAAGCATAGGTGTAGGTTGAGAGGTTTAGAGAGGTCTTTGGTGAGCCTAGGATGGCAGCAGTCAGATTCCTTCATGCCAGACTCTGTGGTTGCATAAGGAAAAGGGGAAGCACATTTCTTCCATAGCTATTTACTTCTGATCATGGGCAGTGGTAGTCCTGGTTTTGTGTGCACTGACGGAAGAGGACTGTCTTTAACAACTGCCTGTGAAATAGCAGCAGTACTGTTGATGAGAAATCTTTGAAACAGATTGATTAAGTATGAAAATAATAAACAGGCGAGTAAAAAGAAGAGAACAGGTGCTACAAAGGGAAGAATCCAATATAGGGGTCCATGAATCCCATGAGCTCTGTGGAGCATCCTGAGAAATTTGTTGTACAGCCTGAACTTCTGTGTCTATTTCCTGCTGAGCTGCAATAACATTATCATGATTCTCTGTGATAAAAGTAGAACACATCGTATGAACTATGGCACACGTGCTCCCTTGGGTGGCTGAGAAAGTCTAAAAGCATGCTACTTTGTAAAACTACCTTATATTTCGTCTATTCATAATTTTATAGCCTGGCAAGTGGCATATTTTAATGCATGAGCTAGATGTTAGGGTACATCCAAGTATACCTTACTAGCAGCTACTCCTGGAATGGTCACAGCTAGGATATAAAACCACTAGGGAGTACATTTTAGAAGGTGCCACCAGTGGTGGTATATAGTTTCCCAATTTGGAAATTATTCTCAGATAATATAGCCAGGAATATAAGGATGTCCCCATGTGCACTGTCCTGTCCAATTAGCATAGCAGATATGTCCAGTCACACTGGCCACAGACTCATAAAGGTCCTGATGGAACTATATCTGTGAGAACTGTTCCAAGATATTTCTTTCCATTGTATCACATATGGAAAATAACACATATGATATTGAGACTCAGATTTTTAGGTATCTATGCTACCACAAGTTGAAGATAAGAATGTTGTTCAACATACCATGTAACAGAATCCTTTATAGCAACATGTTCAGGTATTACCATTTCCCAACCACTGGGGACAGACAGCATATCCTATTAGTGGCTGCCCTGTTTTACCTAGCCTGAGAAAGCATTCTATGCCCTTGCTGTGTCCCTCTCATGTAAATCCTGGAGTATTTCAGACAGACAAAGCTGTTCAGTTTTCAGCCATTTCTGGAGCAAGACAGCAGGGGATACCTCCCTCCATACTTTTGAGAATTTCTACACACATCCAGAAAATGTAGACTTGGTGTGGGGGCAATGAATGCCGGGCAACTTTATTGCTGGTTCCATCTGTATGATCCCTTTGAGTTTGGCATTCTCTAAGCAAGAATAAACAACCTTAAATAAGGGACTAAAGCACATATGGCTAAAGCATCAGCACCAAAATGGAAAGTCATACTGGTGAAAGACACACATATAGACACGATTCTTAAGGGATTGGAACAGCAATCATAACTACCTGTCTACAGGCGTAACTGGAAACTATCAGTACGGGTCGGTGATTGGAGCCCCTTTTTTATATGTCTAGCCTGTATTATTAATGCTTTTATATATTTTTGCTTATACTTTTCTACTGGGTGTTTAAGAACAAGTTAATATAAGAACTGTGTTAATCAAAATTAACCTCTTGCTATCCATGAAGGACAGTCAAGGCTCGGTAAACATTTTTGAATCACGTGCAGAGCCTCTCAGCTCCTCTTATGTCAGCCCCCACTATAGATCATGGTCTTTCTCAACCAATATGGAAGTATGGGAGAATTTTGTCTCTCTGGTGACCCTCCTTTTTTGCACACTATACATTGGTTGATTCCTGTATTCTGGGGTTCTTGAATCTTCTTGTTTGGGAGATTGGTGGACTCACCAAAGTTGTAGTATACTATAGAGAAGATCATCTCATGTCCTGGATATTTGTTGACTTTGGAGGAGCAGGACCAAAACTTAGTCCAGTTGCCTTTTTAACCCTAGTCTCCAAATCTCAGTTGTTTAACATTCAGGAGATAAGTTATGTCAGTATTTCAGTAGGAGCAGCAGTTTTAATCTTATAAACTTATCTAGATAGCAAACATCTTGAAATATACAATATGATCAGGGAACTCTTATTTCCTTACAATCATGGTTGTGTTAGAAGCTTAACCCCTGTAGCATGTCAGTAGATGACAGTTATAAAGTTTCACCAAGAAAATTTGAGAGCAAGAGCAACAAAACATTTTACCATAACAGTCATGATGACATCATTATACTAAATGACACGAAGAAACTTCTACCTAACTTTGTCATCTTTCAATAGAGTGCCATCTAAGAAGAATTTATCTGTCCATAGATGTACCTTATATGGCATTGCCTGGAATGTACAATATTTAAGCATCTCTAAGTGTTGTATTATATACGTAACATACACATAACAATCACATAAGCATAAGCCTTAGATCATCTGGCTGGCTGTCTCAGCTGGATTGGCATTTCATCATCAATAGCTGAAACACAAGTCAGGGAAAGGCAGATATTTGACCCTAAAAGTTCACTGCCATAAACAATTTTAGTCTGGAAGTCATGAGTATTAGATGTTTTTCAATTTTGCATCTTTAAAGACCTGTACACTTGGGTAGTAATAGTGAATGTAACAAACCACGTCAGAACTGCCCGAGGAAGCATCTCTGTCTGCTCCTTGTCATTGACCAGTCTAGGTATGTCTGTTAGTCACACAGAAAAAAGCTCACATGCAACATCAATCTCAGAAATGAGAGTTAAAGTATTTGTCTGAAAGCATCAGACAGACCAGAGAGAAAAGTTGGAAACGGGGGAGGAGTGATTAATGATCTGAGAGTTGGGAACACACAATGCCCAAGTTTCCTTTGAGTAATAAGAAGCTTTTAGAAAGCACAACCTGGCCTCAACCAAACCTCAAATTAACTACATATTTCTTCCTATAAACTTCATTTTCCACAAACCTCTTTTCAACATATTTTAGCCTCCTAGTTTTGCTGCTAGCCTTCTGGTAGGGCAAAAAAAAATATTGTAATACAAAATCCTGTCACATCAAGAATATGTCTCTTTACATATAGCTCTTTCTATACTCATTTCTATCCTCTTTACTATAAGCTTTTATAACAAACCTGATAGTGGCTGTTTGGATTTTAAAGTTGCCTCTATCCTCCTCTTTTTAGTTGCCTCAGATTATTACATTATAAATTTGGCTGGTTGCCAACAAACAAACTTCTGAGTTAACAGAGAAACAGATTAACCCTGTAATTATAGTGTAATAATTTATAATGAACAAAAAATGTTTTTGTGTACAAGGTTGTCTGGTCACCATAGACATCCATTTTATCTTCCCATGTGTTGGATTTGTTGTTTTTAGGACAACAGTTTCACATGTGCCTGTTGCCTTTAGTCCTTCTTTTTATAAAACAGGTCTAATTGGCATATGGTGTTGTAATTTAGAGTCCCCTTGTCATTTCTTTCTGTGGTCCATGTGTAACTTCTTTCTGTCTATCTGTCCTTGGAACAATTTTGGCAGAGATAGGGATGCAAACATAAACAAAGAAAGCTTGGGCATAAGGGACCTCCTGCCACTTGCCACTTTTCTGTTGTGTGTGTGTGTGTGTGTTTGAGACAGGGCCTCACTATGTCGTTGAGGCTGACCTGGAACTCACTATGTAGTCCAGGCTGGTCTCGAACTCACAGTGATCCTCCTGCCTCAGTCTCTTGAGTGCTGTGATTACAGGTGTGCACCACCATGCTTTGTTTTGTGTTCTGGTACTGGGGATTGAACTTGGACCCTTGTGCTTGCAAAGTAGGTGCTGGAGCCACTGAGCTAAATTCCCGGCCCCTGCCACTTTTCTGTAAGTATTTATCAAGGTCTCAAAAATTTTGAAAATCAAACACACCAAATTCACTCCATTCATTTCCATTGTCTAGCTTGTATATAGACCAAGACATGAGAGAATAAAATATGAGATATTTGGGCTGAGTAGTCCCATTTAAACTGAGGCGCAAAAGATTTTTTTAACAGCAGCACAAAGAGGTTTTGCCAGAATTGGATAAATATGGTCATCCATAGTAACTGATAAAAGAGCATCTTTGCTTTGGGGCATCCCTC